ACACATCGTATAGCAAATTTTTTGAATGAATTTTATGGTATATGAATTGTATGAAACTGCTATTTTAATAATAAACCAATACATTTCTACTTGAAACTGATAAGTCTACTTCTATCATAGCTCTTTAAAAACAAAATAAAGGGGGCAGGCAAATGGCATAGTGGTTGGGGTGCTGGCCTCCCACATGGCTAACCATGGTTTGAGTCCCTAATCTGGCAGCTTGCTTTCTCACCTCTCTCTCTCTCTTTCTCTCTGCTCAAATTTAAATAAATAAATAACAATGATGAGTAAAATTAAATAAAACAATCTTTTTTTTTTTTGTAAGAGAGAGTTTTGCTATAGGGCGTGTACACTCACCAGAGAGACAGAGACACAGAAAGCAAGAAATCACCCCCTCCCCAGTGGGGATGACCATGCCGCAATCCCTTCTCCTCCAGTCACCTCTCTGGATTTGGGGCATGTACACACATGCTCCCAGTGTGAGTTTTAAGTCACCGGGTCCAGGGCTCAAACCACAGTTAACTATGTGGGAGTCCAGCGATGCAACCATTACACTATCTGCTGGTCCCAATAAAACAATTTAAAAAAAAAAATTATCTCCTTTAGAAGAGAGCTGGGAGGGGATCAGCAAATGGCGTAATGGTTACATTACTGGACTCCCACATATCCAACTGCAGTTCAAGTTCCCTGGCAGGTTGGAACTCATGCTGGGTGTGTGTATGAGTGTGCCCAAAATCCTGACAGGAAAATGGAAGAGAAGGGATTGTGGCATGGCCATACCCCCTTGGGGATGACTTTTTTGCTTTCTGTCTGTCTCTTTCTTTCTGGCAAGCACACACACCTTATAGCAAAAATGTCTCTAAAAAAAAAAAAAAGAAGAGTGCTAAGAGAGTGCAAGAGACTATGACACATAGTACTATTAAATGACTTAGGTATAACCTCTAAGAAGTAGTCCTAATCGTTACATTAATCATTGGAGTTAGATAAATACAAACAGATAGATACATATTATACTAGAGGGCACATATGGACATGCAAATGCAAGAGAAAGAGAATGTCCAGTGGGGCCCAACAATCACACCCCAGTCCTCTTTCCTGCCATTCTCCATCCCATCAGGATCCTGAGCATATTTTGCAAAACTGCTGGTGCTGGGACTTTAACCTTGCTTGGCTGTGTGAGATGTTCCCACCTCTGTGCAGCTCTTCGCTGTCGCAGTGTGGTGCTAGCGCCAGTAAATACATTTGAAGCGCCTGTGTTATAGCTCTCGCGCTGTACACCGTGCTAGGAAGCCGCAGAAATGCCTTGACTACCCTGCAGGTGGCAATTACAGACACAGTGGAGTCTGGGAAAGGAGTGTCCAAAAGGGCCGATATTGGAAGGATTTCTTCAGTAAACATAGAGGTGAGGGTACTCTGGCCCACAAACAAATCTATGTGTCAGGAATAACACATGTTCATTAAACACTTACCATGTGTCAGCTACTGTTGTGCTTTCCAAAACTATTTAATTCTTAAATCTCTAGTGAGACAATCATCATATATCTTAAAAAAAAAAAATTTAGAGTAATTTTTGCTGTAGGGTGAGTGCACTCACCAGATAGAGAAAGCCAGAGAGACAGAAAGCGAGAAATCACCGCCCCCCTCCCCAAGGGAAATGGCCATGCTGCAATCCTTTCTCTTCCATTCTCCTCTCCGAATTTTGGCCACACATGCACACATGCCCAGCGTGAGTTTTAATCCGCTGGGCCCAGGACTTGAACAACTACATGGGAGTCCAGCAACATAACCATTATGCCATCTGCTGGTCCCAACAATCATTATATACCTAAAATTTCATTTTCAAAATCCTTAGAGCTAGACATAATAGAGAACTCAAAAAACTTCAAGTTTTAGAAGGTAAAAGAATACAAATACTGTACATTATATAGTATCTCCAGGGGTAAATCTCATAATCAAATATTTCTGCAGTAAAAATGTATAAATAGGGGCCAGCAGATGGCATGGTGGTTAAAGCACTGGACTCTCACATAGCTGACCACAGCTTGACTCTCAGATCTAGCGACTTGCTTTCTTGCTTTTCCTCTCTCTCTCTCTCTCCCTGTCTCTGGTGCGTGCACCTGCCCTATAGCAAAAAAATGTAAAAATAATAAAAAATTGAATTAAATAAATAATTGTTAATGTATAAATAACCTCATTTAGTGAGATTTTTTAAATAATGGGACCAGGGCCAACAGGTGGCATGATGGTTAAGGGCACTGGACTCCCACTGCAGGTCAAGTCCCAGATTTGGTGGCTTGCTTTCTCACTTTCTGTCTCTCTCTCACTGGTCAAGTTAAAAATAAAATAAATAAGGGGGGGACCAGCAATTGGCATAATGTCTATGTCACCGGAGTCCCTTATAATCGACATCATCCAGAGGGGCCAGCAGATGCCATCGTGGTTAAAGGTGCTGGACTCCCACATGGCCGACCGCAGTTTGAGTCCCCAACCTGGTGGCTTTCTTACCCCCCCACCCACACTGTCACCCTCTGTTTGAATTTAAATAAATAAATAAATAAATAAATAAATAAATGAAAATTAAAAATAACTCTTTTTTTAAAAAAGTTACTTAAATAAATAAATAAATAAAGAGGCCAGCAGGTGGTATGGTGGTTAAGGCAGTGGACTCCCACATGGTCAACCATGGTTTGAGGCCTGGACCTGGCAGCTTTCTCACTTTCTTTCTCTCTCTGTCTCTGGTGAGTATGTGTACCCTGTAGTATATCTTAAAAATTATAATAATGATAAATTTGTAAAAAATCTTTAAAAAAATAATAATAATGGCCAGCTGGTGGCATGGTGGTTAAGGTGACTAAATCCCACATGGCCAACTGTAAGGTTTGAGTCGCAGGAAAAAACATGCCAGGTGTATGCATGTGTATGCCCAAAATCCCAGAAGGAAGGAGAAATGGAGGAGATAGGATTGTGGTATAATCATTCCCCATTGTTGGGGGGGGGGTTCTCTTCCCCTTCTCTCTCCACAGGCAAGCACACATGCCTTCTGGCAAATTAAGTACGGGAAATAAACTTATTTTGTTTATGTCAGATTTAACCACCACATGAGTTATCACAAAAATTTATTGATTGCAGGGGCTTGGGGATTTTAGAATTGTGGATCATCATTTTTCCCATTTCTCATACAAAGAAACTAAAGCAAGAGAGGTCAAGTAATTTGACCAGAGTCACACAACTAGTAAAAGGAAGAGAATTTTAACTAAGGCCACCTGTCTTAAAAACATATGCTCCATGGAGGCCGGCAGGTGGCATGGTAGTTAAGGTACTGGACTCCCACATGGCTGACCACAGTTTGAGTCCCAGACCTCCTGACAGCTTGCTTTCTCACTTTCCTTTTCTCTCTCTCTGTCACTCTCTGATTAAACAATAAAAATAATAATATGGGAAACAGCAGTTAGCGTAATGGCTATGTCGCTGGACTCCCATGTAGTCGACCGCAGTTCGCATCCCAGACCCGGTGGCTTAAAACTCACGCCGGGCGCATGTGCGTGCGTGCCCAAGATCCTGAGAGGAGAATGGAGGAGAAGGGATTGCGGCATGACCATCCCTTCTCGAGGGTGATTTCTCGCTTTCTGTCTCTATGTCTCTCTCTGTCTGTCTGGCGAGCACACGCGCCCTGTAGCGAAAACCTCTCCAAAATAATAATAATAATAATAATAATAATGAGTTAAATAATTAAATAAAATAATTTTTTTTAAAAAACCTACACTCCTGAGCCAGCCAAGTGGAGCTGTGGTAAAGGTGAGTGGATCCCACATGGCTGAGAGTATGGTTCAAGTCCTGGATGCATACCCAAACTTCTGAGAGAATAGAAGAGCAAAGGATTGCAGCGTGGCCTCCCCACCACCGCCACCACACGGGCTGTTTCTCACTTCCCCCATCTCTTGTCTCTCTCCTGTGAGCACATGTGCCCCAAAACAAACGAAAACAAAACAGAAAACCCTATGCTCCTAACTCCACCCTCTACCCTGCCAGGTTATCCCTGCTGTGTAAATGGAGGCCTTTCCCTGGACTTCCATGACTCAGGATCTTTTGGGAGAAATCTCAAAGCTTCTTTTCCTAAGAATAAATCTAGATATCAAACCCCTTCTCCTAAGACACAGACCTGGACAGAACACCTGACCTCCCTTCTCTTAACCTTCAGACCAGATGGTTTAGAACCCTGCTAGGCAAAATCCAGTCAGAGCTAACAAAGCAATGACTCCTTGTTTGGGAATCACCCTTTGGTACTCTATCTTAAAATCTCTGATCTCTGATCTCAGGGCCAGCAGGTGGCATGGTTGTTAAAGGCCCTGGAGGGAACCAGCAGTTAGCGTAATGGCTATGTTGCTGGACTCCCACGTAGTCAACTGCGGTTCGCGTCCTGGACCCGGTGGCTTAAAGCTCACGCAGGTCGCGTGCGCGTGCGTGCCCTAGATCCCAAGAGGAGAATGGAGGAGAAGGGATTGCGGCATGACAATCCCACATGGGGGGTGATTTCTCTCTTTCTGTCTCTATGTCTCTTGTCTGTCTGGCGAGCGCACGCACCCTATAGCAAAAACCTCTCCAAAAAAAAAAAGGCCCTGGATTCCCACATGGCTGACTGCAGTTTGAGTCCTGGACCTGGCAGCTTGCTTTCTCCCTTTCCCTTTCTCTCTCTCTCTGTTTCTCTCTAATCAAATTTAAAATAAAATACAATGATAAATTTTTTAAAAATCTTTAAAAAAAAATAATAATGGCCAGCTGGTGGCATGAAATTAAATAAATAAAGAAAGAAGCAAAAAATAAATAAATAAACCCCAATCTCTCACTTTTCCCCCAGGCTTCCCAGCAAGGCCAGAGATATGAGGAGGAATCCATTTCTGACCTTTGTCCCTAAGCCTGGCAGCTCACCTGGATGAAAACTGTTTCCCAACACTGGCCCAGGGACATTTCTTTCCCCCAAACAAATCTACCTCCCTGCACATCCCCCACCCTGTAGTTTCACTGACTATGCGTTGACAGATTCTGCCAAGTTCTACCTGTCACTGGTTCAGTTTTCCAAGTCCACTAGTCGGCTGCTCTATCCCTACGACGAGGAGTCATGCCAGCAGGACACATGAGTGTCCTTCTGGGGCCCATGGAGGCCAGGACGGAGTTGAGACCGCAGCTGTTGAGACCCTGAGTCCTGGGTTTGTGTCACTCAAGGAGGGCCTCCCTCTGCAATGACCTCCTCATTCTTCCTGGTTGTCCTTCTCCTGGCTCTAACCACAGTGGCCACTCCCAGAGCTGGCAATCAGTGTCCAGCATGCGGGGGGCCCACCTTGGACATGGAGAGTCAGCGAGAGCTGCTTCTCGACCTGGCCAAGAGAAGCATCTTGGACAAGCTACACCTCAGCCAGCGCCCAACGCTCAGCCGGCCAGTGTCCAGGGCTGCCCTGAGGACCGCACTGCAACGCCTCCGGGGGCCCCCATCAGGGGCACTTCCTGAAGACCACAGGGGACAGGAATATGAGATCATCAGCTTTGCCGAGACAGGTGAGTTCCTGCTCTATAGCTCTCCCCCAAAACCTGACCTCGTGAGGCAGGACAAGTTTCCTCATCAACCTCCCCCCGACTGCCTCCCCCAAACCATTAAACTCCTGTATCCCATAGCCTGTGATCTCCTAACCCCAGATCCCACCCCCCTGACTCTCTCTAATCTTTCAGAACTGACCAATGGGAAGTTGGGAAGTTGGGAAATTGGGAAATTTCACTTCTTCTGAGACTGCCTGCCCTCATCTCTGACTTCTCTCTGTATGCCCCACAAGCTTTCACAGGCGATGGTGTGAGCCCATCCCCTTCCTGGGCCTGGACCTAGAAGCTGGGAGCTGGAGAGCCTGTCCTTCTCCGGCCCCAGTATCCAACCTCTCCAGTCTCCCTTCCCCCAGGTGCTTCATTTGGGTAAAATGATAAAAAAGAAAGCACTGGACTACCATACCTTCCCATATCTCAGGTCTCTGTATACCTCGGACGTCCATAGCAGTGTCCCCATATCAGTATAGGGTCAAAATGGGACTCAGGGGGGTCAGCAGGTGGCACAGTGGTTAGGGCGGCTGGATTCCTACATGGCTGACCACGATTCGAGTCCCGGACCTAGCAGTTTGCTTTCTTACTTTCCTTCTCTCTCTGTCTCTCTCTCTGGACTTTCCATCTCTTTCTCTATCTCTCTCTGGTCAACTTCGAAAATAATAAAATAAAATAATGACAGAGCCTTTTGCAAGCTTTTTCTTAGGTCTAGAAGACCCTTCCCATTCCTGGTTCCTGTCCCTTGATTAGTACCCACTCTTCTTCCTCTTCAAGACCCAGCACGAACTCTGGAACCAGGTAGTCTGGGCTCAAGTTCTTGCTTCACTACTTATTAGCTATGGGACCTGAGTTGTTAATAAAGTTTTCTCATTTGTAAAATGTAGATAATGAGCGAATTAAGTGGGCTAATCAAGTAAAGTCCTTAGGTTGCTAACATGGGAGGGAGAAGGAAATAGAAGACTCAGGTCCCAGCCATGAGAGGGTTGTAGTGAAAGCTGCTGTCTCCTCTCTAAAACCTCACACGGCAGAAAGGGGCAAGGCGGCTTTCTGAGGTCGCTTTCATTAGGGCACTAATCCCATTCAGGAGGGCTCCACTCTCATGACCTTGACCTGATTACCTCTGAAAGGCCCCACCTCTATCACCATGGGGTTATAGATTTCAACTGACAGATTCTTTTTTCTTTCTTCAAATTTATAATTATTTATTTTATTTTATTTTATTTATTATTATTCTTTCAATTTGCTACAGGGTACGTGTGCCCATCAGACAGGGAGCAATAGAGAGGAAAGTAGGAAAATGAGAAAGCAAGTCTCCAGGTCTGGGGCTCAAACCGCAGTTGGCTATGTGGGAGTCTAGCACTTTAACCACCATGCTACCTGCTGGACCTTTAACTTATGAATTTCAAGAGGACACAAACACTCAGTACATAACAGCCTCTCTCCGTGAACCCTCTTACCATTCAGTAGCCTAGCCCAAGCTTTAAAGCATGGTGACTGGGGAGCCAGCAGGTTGTGTGGTGGTTGTGGTGCTAGACTCCCACGTGGGCAACAACAGTTTAAGTCCTGAACCTAGAGGCTTGCTTTCTCACTCTCTCTGGTAAAAGTTTTAAAAATATTAATAATAATAAATAAAAATAGGGAACCAGCAGTTAGCGTAATGGCTATGTCGCTGGACTCCCACGTAGCCAACTGCGATTTGCGTGCCGGACCCGGTGGCTTAAACTCACGCCAGGCGCGTGTGTGTGCATGCCCAAGGTCCCGAGAGGAGAATGGAGGAGAAGGGATTGCGGGATGGCCATCCCCCCTGGGGGGTGATTTCTCGCTTTCTATCTCTCTGTCTCTCTCTGTCTGTCTGGCAAAGCGCACACGCCCTATAGCAAAAACCTCTCAAAAAAAAAATTTTTTTAATCAAATAAATGAATAAAAATAAATAAATAAAATTAAACAAATAACTACTTCAAAAAATAAAGCATGGTTGGGGCCAGCAAGTGGCATGGTGGTTAAAGGCGTTGGACTCTCACATGGCCGACCACGGTTCAAGTCTCGGACCTGGTGACTTGCTTTCTCACTTCCTTTCTCTCTCTGTCTCTCTCTGATTGAACTGAAAAATAATAATGATATTAATAATAAGTAAAGTTAAATAAAAAAATAATAAAATATATAAAGCATGGTGGCCGGATACCAAGAGGACAATTTCAATGTGTAAAATGATTGTCAAGCTTCTGCATACAGCTTGTTTGCTAATTCCCCACTAACAAAGCAAGTCCCCTTGGCCAAGCCCAGAAGCAGCGGGGAATGAAATTAGACAAAAGGCACAGAAACCAGGAGGTATTTTTAACTGGACTACCAACAAAGAGTCTATTTTAATCAGCTCTCTGGTCCATAGTAGTTCATGTCTCTCCCACATGCAAAATACACTCACCCCCTCCCAACTGCCCTCTCCAAACTTTCACCCCATTTTGGCATAGGATCAGGCTTAAAGTCTAGGGCCCCATCATCTGAATCAGGTGCAAATGGAGGTGAGGCTATTTTGGCATTTCTTCAGGTGCCGGGGCCTTCAGTGGTGTCACATTGGCTCATGAGAACGAACTGTGAAAGGCTTCTCCCAACTCCCAAGTTCAGTGATGTCACATTAGTAGCTTGAAATCAGCCATGGTGGGAGAATTTATATTACAGAAGCTGGCAAACTTTACACATCAGAGCATGTAAATGTGTTCCCTGGACACCAGCTGTTAAACATTCACCAGCGGGGGGGAGGGGGGGGCTCCCACGCACCTCCCACGCACCTCACGGATGATGTCAGGAAACAAGGACAGGGTAACCAGTAAGAGATACTCCTGGTCAAATGGGTTATGGGAGACTGAAAGGCACAGGAAGACACTGACCCATGAAAATTCTGGTATCCCGCCTAGCATGTATCTCAGTCCACCCCAAATCCAGAATTCCCTTGGTTAGGGCTTAGTTCTGCTCCTAAGTAAGATTGTCCTACTGCTTACCGTCGCCCTCCTGGGTTCCTGTTCCGCCCTCTGGGCTCTTGACCTTTTAAGTTGCCTTTCCTTTTAAAATGAAAATGACTTGTGTTTGGGGCTGAGTACTTTTCTTAGCCTGATTTCTGCCCAAGAAGTCAGGGCTCAGATACTTTTTCATATATTGAATTGCCTCGGTTTTTTGTTTGTTTGTTTGTTTTGTTTTTATTCTGCTATAGGGAACATGCACTTGCCAGAAACAGGCAGAAAGAAAGAAAAGGAAAGAGAGAAATCATCCCCAGGGGGGAAGGAATGGCCCTGCCACAATTCCTTCTCTGAACATACACATACGTGCAGTGTGTTTTTCAAGTCACCTGGTCCAGGACTCAAACTGCACAGTCGGCCACGTGGGACCCAGCTGCCTTAACCACCACGCCAACCATCTGACCATGTCCCTTTCATTTTAAACTATTGCTGTTTTCACTATTTAAATTATCTCTAAAATTTTGTGGGCTTTCTAAATAATAATTATAGTCTACTCAGTTATAGAGAAGGCCTCTCATTCTATCAAAACAGACTAATTTAATTGATTAGTTAATTTATTTTTGCCATAGGGTATGTGCACTTGCCAGAGTGAGACAGAGAGAGGGAAAGTAAAAAAATCACCACCACTGCCGCAACCCCCACCCAGGGACGGATGGCCACTCCATAACCACTTCTCCTCCATTTTCCTCCTGGGATTTTGGACACACACAAACACCTGGCAATTATGCCAGGTCCAGGATTTGACCCATAGAGTCAGCCATATTGGAGTCCAGAGCCTTAACCTCTACACCACCTGCTGACCCTAAGACAGTCCCTTCTTCAGGCTACAAGTCAGTGTTGTAGAGCAATATCTTTAAGAATTAAAGAAGCTCTTTTAGAGGGTCTACAGAACATCACCCTAAATACTAGATCTCAACAAAATGTTAGCTCTTTAAGATATATATATATATATACACACATATATAGTGCAAGAGGGCATGTGCACATGTCAGAGAGACAGAGAAGGAGAAAGCACCCTTCAATGGGGCATGGCCATGCCGCAGTCTCTACTCTTCCATTTTTTTTAACTCTGGGATTTGGGGCACTCTCATATGCCTGGCGTGTTTTTCAAGCCACCAGTCCAGGATTCAAACTGAGATTGGTGGTGTGAGATCTGGCTCCCTTAACCACTAGGGTAAGGAGCCAGCCCAAAATGTTGTATCTTTACAAAAAGTTTTACAGATGACCCTTTATTTGCTTTGATCTTTACTCTAAGACTGTGTTTTACTGACAGTGACCTGGCTTTTATTTTTGCCCTGATGTGATTAGAGAGCCTTTTGCCAGACAGAAAGAAGAGGAATGAGAAAGGATTTTATTTTTATTTTTCAACTTAGCAAGTCCTTTTAGAAATATTTTCTCTGAATTCTGCCTGAAAATTGGACACTTCCTTTTTAGTTCATCTCTTTCCTGAAATGCCTTATCATAGGAAGCTAAAATAAGTCAATTGGCATTTTCGGCATTCTTCCTGGAAATATCTTCAGCTAAATTCACAACTTAGTTAGAGATCTTTTCTGGCTTCCAAGTTATCATAGGTGATAGTCAATACATAACATAGGTTCCCTTTCTCTAGTTTCCAATGGCAATTTCCATACCAATCTTCCTGCCTTCATGAGCAGTCTTTTCCTTCCTTCTAACCTCTGCCTGCCACTCAACCTCAAAGCCAATGCTATATATTGTAATTTTTTGTTATGAAGATCCCACCTCTGAGACTAATGTCTATTTCAGTCATTTACTAATATAACACACCAGCCCCAAACACAGAAACGCAAAACAATAAATTCATTTTCTCATAACTTTGTAGCTTGACTGGGCTTCTCTGGACAATTCTGCTTCATATGGAATAGCTGACGTCACTCATGCAACTGCATTCAGCTGGGAGCTCAGATGGGACTAGAACATCTAGGATGGTCTCTGATCCTC